GATGAACAACGGGAGGGCCTTCATATTGCTGAGTAGGTTGGGGACTAGATTCCTCAGTATGAGTAAACAACCTGCCCTCCCTCAGGAAAATAGGCCACGCCCACTTGTGAAGAGGCCACGCCTCTACGGAAACCTGGGTTTGGGACGAGATGGGCGTCGCGTGAGGAGTGAAGAGGGGAGGACAGACGCTCAGAACTGCTTTTCTCCAGGTGTCTGGGGGGACGCTTGGGGTCTTGAAGGGAGAGATGGAAGTCCCGGGATCAAGAACCAGTGGCAGAGCTGACCTGGGTTTGGGACAAGATGGGCACCATGTGAGGAGTCTCTCCTACCTTTTAAAAATAAATACAATAATGAGTTGACTTTTTGGCATTTTCAAGATTTACCCACTGAGTTTACATATCATTTTGGATTTATGGATTTAATTTGGTGTGTTGCACTCTATTTTATTACCTTCTTGTTGATCAAATTGATAAGTAGCTGAACTATATGGGAACTCATTCAGGTTGGTTTCTGAACCATTTTTACTCAGCTCTCGTAGTTTTTGATGTGTCTGTTTTGTTTTCTGCTTAAAAAAAACCCTTTTATTCATTTAACATTTTTTCCTTCACATTCGGTGATGCACCGAGGTTACTCCTGGCTCTGCACTCAGGAATTACTCCTGGGAGTGCTTGGGGGACCATATGGGATGCTGGGAATCAAACCAGGGTTGGCCACGTGCAAGGCAAATGCCCTACCCACTGTGCTATCACTCCAGCCCCTCATTTCACTTTACCTCACCAGTGAATATTATTTGGTCTGATCTCTATTGATTTCGCTTTCTCCCTTCTTTCCTCCCTCCACACTACTCAATTTTGTTGTTGGTTAACCATTTGAAAGGAGTTGTTGTAGACTTTCTTTTTATGAGAGAAAAGTCACTTTATTCTAATAATCAGTACACTGTGATATTACAAGAGCTGGTTTAAGAAAGCCACACAAACATTTGCTCAGCCCCTAAATCAGTACCATCTCAGTGAACCAGTCTGTGGGTTAGATAATAATACCTCTCCCATGCAAATTGGAATCAAGGAAGCTACAGAGAATAGGGTTCATTGGTGATTTCACCCTTTGCATTTCATTTCTATTTGTATTTTTATGTTAAATTAACTTGGTCTTGAGAGGTAGTTTTCCATGTCTTCAACTTCTTTTTTTTTGTTTTGTTTTATTATGTAGGAGTTTTGCTATTTATTCAGCCATTGATTAGGCTGATTGAATTGGGCATGAACTCCACCTTACTTTTTTTCCCTTTTTTATAATTTTATTTCACGGCAGAGTCTGGCAAACTCCCCGTGGCGTACCCAATATGCCAAATACCAGTAACAATGATGGGTCTCATTCTCCTAAAGAGCCTTGATTATAATCTCGGGGCTAGGATGAAAGAGTCCTTACTGGGGCCTGCTCGAGGCAATTGACGAATAACAGGATGATTTGTGATTTGTGATAATTTTATTTATTGGATCACTGTGAGAGCAGTTACAGAGCTTTTGGGTATAAGTCTCGGTCATACAATGAAACACCCATCCCTTCACCAGTGCCCATTTTCCACCCCAAAAACCCCACTATACCCCCCATCCTACACCCTCCCCCTACCTTTGGGGCAGATGATTTCCACATTACTCTCTCTCTCTACTTTGATTACATTCAATATTTTGACACCAAACCCACCATTATTAGTTGGTATTCTACCCCAACACTCAGATCTGCTAAAAAGGCAACCATAGACAATTTGTTTTCTGTTGCTGGTTATGAATAACATATGATGTCCTATGGCTGCACGACTTTGGAATTTTGAAATTTTAACAATTAAATCTGGAGGGATTTCTGCCAAAATGTACTGGGTTCCAAGATTTGTTCCTGAGTCTCTTGGATCATGACCGTTAAGCAGCTTGGTCAGGAGCCAGAGAGGCCGTTCGTGGGCAGCAACTCGGGGTCTTGTTCGGGCGGGGAGGAAAGGGCTGGCTGTACCCCCATCCCGTGAGGCCCTGCATGTCTCGTCACTGCGGGCCCAAACATGACTGTCCAATGGCCTCTGGAACATGCGGTCACAAGGCAAGTGCCAAAACCTGCTGGGTTCCGAGATTTGTACCCTTTCTTAGGAAAAGATCACCTTCCATTTTGTACATTTTGGGGCTGGAGTGATAGTACAGCGGGTAGGGCATTTGCCTTGCACACGGCCGACCCGGATTTGATTCCAAGCATCCCATATGGTTCCCTGAGCACCACCAGGAGTAATTGATGAGTTCAAAGCCAGGAATAACCCCTGTGTATCACCGGGTGTGACTCAAAAAGCATTGTGTGCACTTTCTATATTTCAGTTACAGCAGATCCTGGACATTCCTCCATACCAGTATGTAGAGATCTTCAATAGGGCTCTTCTTTTTTTTTATTAATGAATCACCATGAGGTTCAGTTACAAACTTACAAACTTTTATGCTTACATTTCAGTCATACAACGATCAAGCACCCATCCCTCTACAAGTGCCCATTCACCATCACCAATATTCCCAGTATCTCTCCCAATCCCCCTCCTCCATTGCCTGTCCCCCACCCACCTCTGTGGCAGGCTCATTCCCTTTTACTTTCTCTCCTTTTTTTGGTGTTGTGGTTTGCAATACAGGTATTAAGTGGCCATCATGTTCGGTTTACAGTTTATTTTCAGCACACATTTCCCATCCTTAGCGGGCCCTCCAAGCATCCTTTTTTTTTTCTTCTTTTTGGGTCACACCTGGCAATGCACAGGGTTTACTCCTGGCTTGTGCACTCAGGAATTACTCCTAGTGGTGCTCAGGGAACCATATAGGATGCTGGGAATCAATTCTGGGTCGGCCGCGTGCAAGGCAAACTCCCTACCCACTGTGTTATCACTAGCCGTCTCCAACCATCCTTTACTTGGTGGTCCCTTCTCTATCTGAGCTGCCTTTTCTCCCAGCATGTGAGGCCAGCTTCCAAGCCGTGGAGCAATCCTCTTGGTCCTTAATCTCTACTATCCGTGGGTGTTAGTCTCCCATTCTGTCACTTTATATTCCACAAATGAGTGCAGTCTATGTCTGTCTCTCTCTTTCTGACTCATTTCACTTAGCATGATACTCCATGTTGATCCATTTATATGCAGATTTCATGACTTCATCAATAGGGCTCTTTTAAAATGTTCAAATAGTTATGAACCTTTTGGACTGAAGTTGTTCATTGGTACTTCGCCTCCCCTGTGTTAAAGTCCAAATCTTTTTTGGTTTGTTTTTGAGCTACACTTAACAGTGCTCCTGACTGTGCTTAGGGATCACTCCTGGCGGGGATGGTGACACCATATGCGGTGCCAGGGTTTGAACCTGGGTCAGCTATGTGCAAGACAAGCTCTCTACAGATTGTACTATTACTTAGTCCCAAATCCAAACCTTTTTAACAAGGTAATAAAGATCTTTTACCATTGGGCTTCTTTGTGTGCCTTTCACCTTTCATCTTCTCTTAGTGTATGTACATGTATGTACACGTATTTGTTACTGTTGTCATATTGAATTGTCGGTTTTGTAGGAGTTTTGACTTTTGGAGTTTATTATAGACTATTACTCTTGAATTGCTTCATTTCCTTGAATAAATCATGAGCATTACCCTTGTTTTGCTTGTTACTTCTGTCTGCATAGAAGATTGTACTTTCTCTCTGTATTCACAATTTATTATATATATATAAACTAGAACTTAAAAACATTTTTGGAAGCCATGTTTCAGAGTCTGAGTCTAATGTCCTCATATACTAACCCAAGAGTCTCTGCTTATCATTGTTTTGGCATTCATCATGCAGTGTTCAGACTGTTTACCTATATACATTTCTGTTAGTCTGTGCTCTGTGAGCATAGGAACCATGGCTCACAAGATGTGAGACCCCCAGTTCCTGGCACTTAGAAAGCATTGTGGACTAAAATTGGGAGAAAAGCACAAACCAGACATGTATTGCAGTGTGCATGACATAAAACCACACTCAAGTGGAATTTGCTCTGATGATGTGATCTGAGAAGTCACTGAAGAGAGCCTTAAGTGACTGCTCAGCACTCATCCGACATTTGAGAAACCACTCAGGAGAGAAGCCATATCAGTGTAAGATGTGCCTGAAGGTCTTTGCACAGAGTTCTTCCCTCATTGAGCATCAGAGAATCCACACAGGGGAAAAGCCTACAAGTGCAGTGACTGTGGGAAGGCCTTCAGCCGCAGCTCAGCACTCATGGTTCACCTGAGGGTCCATAACACTGTCCCTCCTCAGATGTCCAACATCTATGAATCCTGAGTTCTACAAGGACCAAAAACAGATAATAACAATGTATAAGGAATAAGACAGATATCGGGGGGCTGGAGTGATAGCACAGTGGCAGGGCGTTTGCCTTGCATGCAGCCAACCCGACCGACCCGGGTTCAATTCCTCTGCCCCTCTTGGAGAGCCCATCAAGCTACTGAGAGTATCTCTCCTTCACGGCGAAGCCTGGCAAGCTACCCATGACTTCTTTGATATGCCAAACACAGTAACAACAAGTCTCACAATGGAGACATTACTGGGCCCGCTCGAGCAAATCTATGAACAACGGGAGGACAGTGACAGTGACAGTGATGTGATCATAAGTTACCTTATTCATTATGAAACTGTAAGTTGAGTCCAGATCAGCCTCCCTGGGAGTTCTAGATTATCTTGTATTGATGCTGGTATATGGCTTGGGCCTGAGAATCAAAGATGGGTACTACCAGCTGTTCTTCCTGTGAGACAAAAAATGGCAGGGCCTGGGAAAAGTGGGATTATGCTGTAATTTCCAGGGATGGTGGAAATGAGTACTCTGGGCAGTACCTGGTAAGTGGAGTTGAACTGAGGAAGAGACCCTGTTTGAATAGAATTGGGCAGCCAGGCTGCTACTTGATCAAGCATCTCTATGAGATCCTGGGCTCAGGGTCCTGGCTATTTATGTTACTTGCCCTCGCATTTATAGGATGCTCAGGCTGAGGAGGAGATCAAACAGGAGATGAACACACTGCAGCAAAAACTAAATGAGCAGCAGAGTGTACTCCAACGTATTGCTGCTCCCAATATGAAGGCCATGGAAAAGCTGGAAAGTGTCCGAGACAAGTTCCAGGAGACCTCAGATGGTAAAGTTCCTCTTTTTTACTTGGGTCTAAGGTAAAGACCAGAGAAATGCTAAGGGTTTCTCATTACACATCACAATAACTCCTGTTTTATGAGCTTTATTATTTGATTCCCAAGAGCTCTAATAATAGTTGCAGGTTGCTGGTAGAGCCTAGGGAATGTGTCTTTATGTGTCTCCAAGCCTTTCCTTCTGCATGGTGTGACTGACCTGTTAGACACAGCTGGTTGTGGGATCCACCTCAGGCATTCTTCTTCCTCTGCAATGTCCCCACTATGCATTGTCATTTTCATGTCATTCTCGTCAGACTGTCAGCTGTTGACAAGTCTGGGTATTGAGGGGGCACCTGTCTTTCCCTTGTGGCAGAATTTGAGGCTGCTCGTAAGCGAGCCAAGAAGGCCAAGCAGGCATTTGAACAGATCAAGAAGGAGCGTTTTGATCGCTTCAATGCTTGTTTTGAATCTGTGGCTACCAACATTGATGAGATCTACAAGGCCCTCTCCCGCAACAGCAGTGCCCAGGTAGGCTGGAGCCCCTTCTTCAGTCAGCCCCTAACATCCTCATATGTCCGTTCATCTAGGCTTCCTGTACCATCCTCATCCTGACCCAGATTCTGACCTATTTACCTTCCCTCTAGGCATTTTTGGGCCCTGAGAACCCTGAGGAGCCTTACTTGGATGGTATCAACTACAATTGTGTGGCTCCTGGCAAACGCTTCCGGCCAATGGATAACTTGTCAGGGGGGGAGAAAACAGTGGCAGCTCTGGCCCTATTGTTTGCTATCCACAGGTAAGACAATACCCTGTGTCCTACCCACTCCCTAGGACAGTTGGCGGAGATACTGAACTGATTCCTCTGAATTGTGGCTCTGGAGTCCCTGGATATTTGGAGATCTGTGGAGATGAAGGTGTTCTTTTGGAATCTGTATTGCAGCAGAGCTGACCTTGGTTTCCTGGAACCTGTTTTCTCATTCATCTACATCCACTCAGCATGTCTTCATTGACTTCTGCATGTATTCAGTCCTGCCACCAGGCTTTTGCTTACATAGTTGCTGGGTAATAAGCCCTTTCTATGCAAATAGTTTAACAGTCACCTTCCATCCCTTCACATCTTACTCTCTTCCTGTTCTTCTAGGAGACTCACATTGACCACTGTGACTTACCCTGATCTCCCCCTCACGACCGCCAATATTACTTGAATTTGACCTCCATACTTAGTGTTTGATTGTACATTGTCATGCAGTGAGCATTTCTTGAGGGTGAAGCGTCATGAAGTGAGCATTTTTTGAGGGTTACTCTGTAGAGACCATGTTGGGGGATTAAGGACACAGATAGTCAGACATTATCACTGTCTTTGAGATACTCATCATTTTGTGGAAACCATACATGTAAATAGAGAGTGAACAAACTGTTGCAGCTGGGTGAGCATGGGTACTGTGGATACACAGAAGGGGGACAACTAGCCCAATCTGGAAGAGGCTGTGGGTTGTCAGGAAAGGTTTTGAGGGGAAGTAGCACTCAAGCAGTGATGCACAAAGGATGAGTAGATCAGGTAGAGGGTGTGGCCTGTACTGATGCAGGGAAATAGGACAGTATGGGTGGGTGGTGTGGATCTCCTTAATTGTATGGCTAGGATTTAGGACAAAATTTAACTCCCCATCCAGTCTGAAGGCTCCAGAGAGAGCCATATCTTTTCATTATATAGGCTACTAGAAGATGCAGAGTAAGGCTTAGTTGTTGTGTTGGTGTATAGGGGCTCAGGCAGCATTAATACCTGGGTGTCCTAGTCTCTGAAGAAGTAGAGAGGGAAATTGTCCTGTATGATGGGCCTTGGGGCTGTCCTGCCCTGCCCTGCCCAGCCTTGCTTCCCTCCCCACCCCCATCAGTGTCAGCTCACTTACTGGTTCCCTCTCAGCTACAAGCCAGCTCCCTTCTTCGTCCTGGATGAGATTGATGCTGCCCTGGATAACACCAACATTGGCAAGGTGGGTGCAAGGAAAGTGGGACTATGGAGGGAGGCCCCCAGGTGGGGGCTGGGTTTCAGGTAGCAATTCCTGAGTGTGCCTTAGCTGTTCCTGCTGCCTGCTCTCTGTGCCTGGGAGGCTGGGCCCAGGACCATCAATACTATGCTAGTTAGTGTTCTCTCATCTTTTGTTGCCCTGTCCTCCATCCTCTAGCCCACTCCCTTTGCTTCTGGTTTTGACTGAAAGAGACAAGGGGGAGTCTGAGATCTTCAGCCCTACTAAGTGCCCTGCGGACTTTCCCACAGGTGGCGAATTACATCAAGGAGCAATCAACTTGCAACTTCCAGGCCATTGTCATCTCTCTTAAGGAGGAGTTCTACACCAAGGCTGAGAGCCTCATTGGAGTCTACCCTGAGGTAGGGCAGACCTAGTTCAGTAGCAATCCCACCTCTGCCTGACTCCCCAGGGCAGGAAGGGTAGACTACAGTGGAGGGGTATGGGGGTGGGAGAATCACAACTTAGGTCTTGAATGGCCATCTGGATTTGTTGGAGCGCCCCTCCCCGGAGGCTTAGCCAGCCAGCTGGGCACTGCCATTGCATTTGGTGACATTTGGAAAGGCCAGGCGGAGGCAGCCACAGCAGAGAAAAAAGGAGGATAGTGCAGAGATAGGCAAGGAGAGAAGGCACCTGGGACTAAGTACATGCTCTCAAACCCAGAAAAAACCATTGCTTGGGCTTTGGGCAGATAGGTAGGATGACGGGTTTGAGGCCCCAAGTCCTGGGGCACTAGATCCCTATTAATTCTCTCCTTACGATTTTATTTTTCTTTTTCTCCCTCCTCCTTCAGCAAGGGGACTGTGTGATCAGCAAAGTCCTGACCTTCGACCTCACCAAGTACCCTGATGCCAACCCCAACCCCAATGAACAGTAGCAGTAATTTGCCCTTCTACCCTGTCTGGATCCCTAATGTTCTCCCCCTTTCACCCTCTGGATATTTGACTCCCAGCTTTCCCCTACCTCCTGTCCCTGTTAGGTTTAGGTATGGGATTTAAGCACTGCTATCAAGCACGAAGAGGAACAGAGGTGATGTTAGGTCTGGAGCAAAATTTCTGAACTACAGGGAGCATCCTGGCCTCTGGAAGGTGCTGAGCTGAACTGAGCTGCACAGGGCCATCTGTCTGTTCTCCCTCCTCACCCTTCAGACCTCTTAATCACCCATAGCCATGGGTCCCTTGGGCCCACTTGCATTGCTTGTGTGTGGGTATGTATGTGTGCACATGTGTGCATGTGGATGTGTTCGAAAACTAATAAAGATGATGGAGACTGATTTTAGAAGAAGCCTAGATGAATTTGATTCAAAGAGAGCTTAGTATGATAGTACCCCAGAGCTTAGGCACAGCTATTTAGGACCTCTTAAGGGACAGGCAGTCACATGAAAATTACCCTCATTCACTAATCTGTGTTTTCACTCATTTGTGTATTCATCAAACACGTTCTGAACATGCTCTATTGTCAGGCTCTATGCTAGAAATACAGTGCCGAATCAGACACTATCTCCACCTTCCTCAGAGATACAGTGAGTTCATGAGTTTCTGTGGTTATATTAATGTCATGTGTATAGGTACTTTGAAGAGATGATAATCTGCAGGCTTCCTGGGAAAGGTCACATTGGAGTTGAACCATGACAGATTGGTAGGATTTGCTCAGGCACTAGGGAGCGTGGGACAGACAGTTGTGGGTTCTTGGCATTGGGCAAATCATTTGATCTTTCTGTGCCTCAGTTTCCTCATCTGTAAAATGGGGTTAACAATATTACCTACCTCATAGAATTTAATGATGTCAAGTTCATTACTGGAGGCCTTAGTCCTGCTTGGAGCTCATCAGGTGCCAACCTCTCAATCTATGACGTCTTGTGCTTGGACCCCTGAAGGTTTCTGATCCTAAATCTGTGAGATGCCCAATGCCTTGATTATTGGAAAGGTTCCAGGGCACTGATGGTGTTTAGGTAATAAATAGAGGGCCTAAGGAAGCCTGTAGCTTCAGCATTATGGTAACTGGTGCCTGGGCCCCAGCTTGGGTTTGAGGAAATAAAGAAGAGGTACCCTGGGCCACATTTGGCTGACTGCATGTGATGTTCCTTTTGGGAACTAACCACATTAGCTGTAGGAACCGTACTGAAGCAGCACAGCCTACTGACATACTGTCAGACCCTATCCTGATTGTGTATATTACATTTTTGTTTTTAAAATGTTGAATCCATACTAATTACCCAAAAATTCAACACATAAATTCATTTTCTTTAGAGATTATATTTTACAGATAAAGCTAGCTTCATTATTAATCTCTTCCTCCTTTTTATTGTATTTTCATCTAAAATTAAAAATTTTACAGATATATGAAATCATTGAAAATATCATGTTTAAAGCAAATGACAAATTGATTTTGCTTTCTTATTGTTTTTGAGATCTATGCATGTTGCTAAATGTAGATTTAAAGACCTTCATATGATTCTGCTACATTTTACTTCCCATTTCTCTAGTAGTGATAGTGTCTTTTTTCAACTTTAGTATGACAGAATACTACACAGGAGTACCATGTGTGTGCATGCATGTGTATGTAAGTTTACTTAGAGTTCCTAGAGTTCATTCTTAAAAGTTGAATCACGGTGTCATAGGATATTATATATTTTTTAATAGATACTTCTAAATTACCTTCTTGTACTCTTAGTATTTCTAAGGTCTACCATTGTTGTCTACTTTAGTTTTAGCCTAAGTAATGTTATAGTGAAACCATGGCTTTTATATTCTAATTATGTATTTTGTATATAGTAAAAGTCCCAAGTCTCAGAACAAAATAAACTTGTCCATATTCAACCAAAGAAGTCACATACCACCACGGTTATAGTTTGAAAACTGCTGGCATGAATGGAAGAGCAGTTTGGGAGTCAGCTGTGGTTCAGATCCTAGCTGTAAGAACTTGAACCCCATTACTTCCTCTCAGATACTTTGTTTCCTCACGTAGAAAGGGATATAGTATATGCCTACTTTGTAAGAGTACAGATGAAATATGTTTGAAGCAATTTGGCACCTAGCTCATCAGAGGCTTTAAAGGCAGTGATTGCTATTCCCCCTACTTGACAGATAAGGTCTAGGAAAGTTAAATGACCCAACTATCAGATAATAGTGAAAAACAGTGAGTGTTTGAACCCAGACTCTCCATTCATGTGCTTTCTCCACTGTAAGAAGTAGTTATCTTGATTTTGCACCAAGAAATAGCTTGTTAAGTATTTTCTTTTTCCTTTTTTAAAAATTAAAGCAATACAAATACAGGTTAAAGAATAAAATAGTAAATAAGGGCTTGTAATGAAAAGCAGCAATTTCTGTGGCATCCCCGCATCCAAAGGATTTGGTTCTCCTTGTGCTGGTCACATGTCTGGGAATCTTAATTCAGTGGGTGTGGATAGTAATTGGAATAACTAATCCCTACCTCACAGGGATGGAAAGGATTACATTATATATCTGGACTTAAGGCCATGGCACATAGGAATGTGATTGAGGTCTTGAGGATCAGAGCGTAGATGATCAATATCCCAGTGGTTCAGTGGCAGAACTTTGACTTCATCTTGGATTTCCTTTGTGCCACACTACCGTGAATCATCACATATTTAAGGAAGGCTGTGTTCATAGGTAAGCAATCACTATGGTATATTTTTGCAAGTAAGCTGAGCAAGTAGAATCTTCAGTTTGCCGAAAGACACTAAGGTTGACTTTCTTAAACTCTGGACCATTAACCTTGCTCTTGGTAATCAAAGAATACCCAGAAAAGTCTATATCATTTTTTGGCTTTTTGGGTCATAACTGGCGATGCACAGGGTTACTTCTGGCTCATGCACTCAGGAATTACTCCTGGCGGTGCTCGGGGGACCATATGGGATGCTGGGAATTGAACCCGGGTAGGTCGTGTGCAAGGCAAACATCCTACCCGCTGTGCTATTGCTTCAGCCCCAACAATCTATAACTTTAATTGGGCATCTGACTCTATGAGTCATGTACACAAGAGTCATGAAATAATTCAAATATTTATCTTCCTTTTGAGGAGTTCACTGTCTAGTTGGGAGGGCAATTCATTCTTTAAAGAGCCATTGAGCATACAGAGTGATCAGCACTTTGATAGGAGCACAGAATAAGGAGGATCACTTTTTTGCTTAGCCAGAAGTTCAGGGAAGGCATCATCTCACCTAGGAGGTGAATCTTAAGGAACTGGAAGGAATTAGGTAAGGTACAGGAATTACCAGGTATTGAGAACAGTATGCACAAAGACCTGAAGGCCAGATGTACCAAACCAGTTAAGAAATACTGAACACCAGTATTCTTGAGGTGGGAAGAGCAACAAAACCTGAAGCTGGAGAGGTGATGAAGGACCATATTTTGAAGGGGTTCTGAGGGACCAGTTAAAAAGTTCAGATTTACTTTATGTAAATACTGAATGAGCTATTCACAGGAAACTGGGCATCCTGGGTCCCCAGCCTCTAAAGGTCCAGTTTCTGCAACTTGGATGGGGCCTTGGGATCTTGAATTTGTAAATGTCAGCATATGACTTTAGGGTGCAGGTAGGTTTGAGAACTATAGCCAGAAGGCAATAGGGGAACCATAGAATGATTTTAAGCAGGGGAGACACCTTTTTAAACTCACATATGAATTTCAACAAACCCTTTCTTTTCTGGCCTACCTTTATAGAAGTAGGTTAAGCAGGTTACTATATTATATATTTGCTTGTTTTGTCTCTGAATAAGCAGTAAGCACCAGAAGGGTGAGCTTGATGTTATCTTGCTGCTGGTATACCCCTAGGAAAAAGCATAGTGCGTAACAAAATAGGCAGCCAATTAATTGTTTTTGAGTGAATGTAACTTACTGAATGCATTTATGAGGGAGAGATTAGAGATGGAGATCAGTTGTAAAAACTATTGAATAAAGACCAGGAGGTCTTCTCTAGGACAGAGGCAGCGGGAATAATTAGAGGTCACAAATTATGAGTTGTTGAGGAAAACTGATGAACTAAAGACTTGGTGTCTGTTGATTGGATGTAGAGGGTGACTGAGAAGATAGAATGAGTACCCATTAATAGCCAAGATTCCTACCTTATCCCAGTCACTTTTCCTCATCCCTCTCAATAAGAATATTCCAGCCTCTTCAGCAGCTGAAATTCCTTCCACATTCTGTGTGTGTTGTGTGGTCTCCCATTTCCCTGGCCATTGATCTATTCATCCGGTTCAATAATCTTGGCTAAGTACCTCCTGTATTCAGTGAGTCTCTCTCAAGCCAGTATTTGACTCCCTTTTTCCTACCTCTAGAGAATTTTTTGAGGGCTTCCCTAGCTAAGAGTTACATCCTTTATAAATAACCTAAAGGGAGATACCCATATATCAGACCTGTAAGGAAACTTGCAGGCATTGTCTAACTTCCCCTCCGGAGGCTTTTGGTGGGGGAAGGAATTTGCCCAAGGTTCCACTAGTAGGAATTGTTGAAGCTAGAACAACAAGTCCTTTCTCCACATTATTCCTAGAGCCTTGAATTCTCATTCCAGAGCAGGAATGACAGAGGTGGCCAGGGAGAAGGTGGGACTCAAGTTGAGCCTTGAAGGTTGATGTACTGATAGGCCAAAAAGCATGTCAGTTACCGCCCTGTTCTGTATACCCTCAGTAAAACCTGCCATGTCCATAGTCCTTTCTTAGGGGTTCCTTAAGCATGACGTGTTATGCTCTGTACCAAGTGACCTCAATCCTGACTACAGATGGTTAGATTGGAATTGTATCTCATTCAAAGATAGCTAGTCTCCAGGCTGGTGAGCCCCTATTAGGTGGACTGATGTAAGAATGTCATAGGGAGATGGCCTGTATCAAATGGCAAATATTTAAAACACTCAGATTGTTTTTTAGGGAGACTGAATGTGATACTTTTCAGAAATGAGCAGTTAATTAGAATTTAGTGAGGCAGAAATGGCGAATGAGGGGTACCGGAAACTAAGCAACAAAAGCAAGGAGAAAGGTGTAGAAACCATGAAATGTATGTACCATGAAGCCATGAAGCAACAAGATAGCAATGGGCCAAAAACACAGAAGCCATGAAGCTATAGAAGCCACAATGTAGCAAAAGCCACAAGGAACAGAAATCATGAAAGGAAACTGAAACTGAGATCCATGAAGCAGCAAAAGACTTGAACAGACAAGATCTGAGAAGTGATAGAAATGAGCAAGAGCAGAGCTGCAAGGTAGCTGAAACCATGTGGTAGAAAGACTATAGGAATCAAAACTGCAGGAATGAAAAGGTACAAAGAAGTAACAAAAGACCTGGATTAACAGGAACTGACTCTCTAAGAGCCAAGAAGTTGCAAGAGCCTGGAGGCCCTGAAGGCTTGGCTATGAAAGAGGAGAGCAGAAATAATGGTAGTCAGCAGTAGGAGTATAAATACAGCCAGAAAGAAGTTGAGTCACCATTTTGGGACTCACTAGAGAGGAGAGCAACAGATGCCTGCAGCTGAGGGGGTGACAAGATAAACCAGGCTCTAGAGCTGCTTTTGGATCATGAACTGTTTTCAAGTTTCTGTTCTTTCATGAGGCTGCCTATGTAGCTGTTTTTGTCTTCCTTATTTCCCTGTAAATGCTTCAATAAATCTTCATCATTAACATGAGTGTGTCTGTTCCTTGTAATATAAAGGAAGTTAATATGGAGGTACATATGCACTTTAGACTGCTATATTCCAAGTAGGTTGGAACTGGACACAAAGGTGGGAATTCATTCAACTCATTATTTCTCATACCTTCACTCTCATGGACACTTACTCTCATTCATTTATTCAACTAGGCATGAATCCTTCACCTTTAACATTCATTCATGCATTAATATAAACATTTGGTCATTTGCTTCTTCCTGTATTCACTGACTCATCACTTCTGTGTATTTGTTTATAGCACACATTGGGATCCTGGTGTATGCTAGGCCCTGTCCTAGGTTGCTGAGATAAAGTATGCCTTTTTGTTTGTTTTTTTCGCCACTCCCAGCTGTGTACTGAGAAATCACTCCCGGTGTACTCAGGGACCGTTTCTGGTGCTGAGGATCAAACCTGGGTCAACCGCATGCAAGGCAGGCAATCTACCTGCTTGTACTATCCCTTTGATCCCAAGATAAAGTGTACTTCAACTCCAGGAACTAACCAAGCAGACAAGCTGCTCTACACAAATTCATATGAAAACTGAAAATAATGGATTTGTGGAGTAGTGGGCATTATTGCCATAAGGTGAGAGAGGCAGAAGTTGAATGATCACTTATGACTCAATGGGCAATGGGAAGTTCAGAAAAGGTTTGAGGAGAACTGGAGTGAGTGTAGCAGTGTATTTGTTTTGCACACATGGTGGATCTGGGTTCAATCCCTGGCACCACGTATGGTTTCCTGATCTGGTGCCAGGAGTGATCCCTGAACACCACCAGGTGGGGCCACGAACAATCCAAAACAATCCTGAAAGGTTTGAGGGAGGGGAGTGGCAGGTTGGCATTATAGAAAGTTTACTTAAGGAGCTGGTGTGAAAACTGGGGGCATGAAACTTAAGCAATCTACTTTGATAAAGTACTTATATGTATCATACGGGCATGAAGGGATAATTAAAGGCATGAAGGAATTCCTGAGGGGAAAGTTATGTTCGGGGATCTTAGGAAGACTTTGAGAATGTGAAATTTGACTGAGCCTTGAAGGTGGATTCCATCTGGTGGAGATGAGGAAGGCTTTCCAAGCCTGGCAGACATGAAAACAAGGAGGGGGTGCTGTCAGTATGGTAAATTTGGGCTAACAGATATTCCACTTTGGAGCAGAACTGCATGTACAGGAGAAGGAGGAAGTGAATGAAACTGCAAGGTTTCCAGAAGTATGTTCTGCTGTAGTAGATAGGTCTGCAGAGATGGGAAATTGAGGGAAACTATTACATGGTTAACAGGATTATCTTTACTGTTTATTTATTTTGTTTGGGGGCACACCCAGTGGTGCTTGGAGACTGCCCTGGGCTGGATGCTTCTTGTGATGGAGGACCCACGTGATGCTGAGGATTGAACCAAGGGCTCCCACATGCAAAGCATGTGTTCAGCCCTTTGACTATTTCTCAGGCCCCCTACTGTTTGCTTTTAAAAATTAACATGCTCATTTTAGAATAGAAGAGAGAGAATACAGGGCTTGAGGCACTTGGTTTACATGCAGCTGACCCTGATTTAATCCTTGGCACCTCTAGGAGGGGTCCAGAACACCACTGGGTATTTTGGGCTCAAATGCCCAAAATAATAAAATAAGTAACATATACACAATATTTAGAAAACACCAGTGAACTTAAAAATCGACAGAAAAGGACATGATGAAAAGCAAGAGTGCTGCCTCACACTTCTACCCACACTCACTTTATCAACTGCTTTTAGTTTATTTTTTGATACCTAGATAATATGCTATGTGAGCATTTATCTTTTACCAAATTCAGACATTACCTGTTCTACTATGACAGATGGGGATTTAGATGCTTTTGTTTCTGGACCACACCTGATGATACTCATTACTCCTGGCTCAGTGCTGTGGATCACTCCTGGCAGTGCTGGGGGACCATGTGCAGTGCCAACAAACAAACCATAGCCTCCTGCTTGGAAAACATGCACATAACACTTTAAACTGTCCCTCAGCTATTTGTGTGTTTTGGGTTTTTAGGCCACAGCAGCTTAGTGGTTGCTTTTGGTAGTTCTTTGGACCATGCAGTACTAGGGATCAGAACTGCAATCCCCAGGCCTTCCACATGCAAATTATGTGCTACAATCCTTTAAACTATCTCCCTGACCCCAAAATTTAGATTTTTTAAACATTAAACTCCTGTCCTTCCTGATGTTAATAATGTCTTCATTAGGTACCTTTCTGATACCTTTATTTTCTGTTTCATAGAAACAGTATGCCTGTTTTGGGGGGAGGGGTGTTGTTTGTTTGGGGGCCACAATCCATGGTGCTAAGGGATTGCTCCCAGTGCCTTGCTCAAGACTTCTCAATGGTGCTTGGACAGGGAAAAGGAGAGAGGAACGGGGGGGGGGGATAGGGGGGATGGAGGGGGGGAGAGACCATGTGGTGCTAGGAATTGAACCCAGGCCTGTTGCTTGCAAAGCATGCATACTAGCACTTTTAGCTATCTCTTGGCTCATTCTTGATCAGAACTTTGTTAAATGAGAAAATATTTTTCTTTTTTCTCATCTGTTAGCCTCCCAGCTTATGTCATCTAGTCTTACAAAAGACTCATAAAAGTTAACAACAATTTTATGTGCATATATTTTGCCTATAGTTTGGTAGTTTGATTGTAAAAGTTGAAAAGCAGTGAGCAATTTTGTTAATATGACTGTTCAGTAGTCAGTGAATAATGTTTTTTCCTTGTTGCGATGTTTCTTTCTTGAAATTTTTATTTTTATTTCACTATTTTATCATATATTCCACTTGTTTTTCTTTTCAAAATCTTTATTACATTAAGTATTCCATCCCCTTCACCATCCCGCACTCCTTCAAGACACTCTCTGGAGCCCTTCCTATTTCTCAAATCTGGAGTAGTTGCTACCAAACCTTGATACATGGGTGTCATATGGGGACTTTCCTTTACTACTTTCCTTGGTTATAGTCCATTACTTATTGCTTCTTAAAGTTCTTACTTTAGCTTGATATTTCCATTGTTTGGATGACACACATCCTTTCACAGAAGGGTTGTATAGGAGATAGAAGTCCTGAGTCTTTGCATATCTGTAATATATCCTTAGATTTGTCTATAAAGTTTAGAGGTTAAAAGTCATTTTCTCGGGGTTGGAGTGATAGCACAGCAGGTAGGGCGTTTGCCTTGCACGCGGCCGACCCAGGTTCAATACCATATGCAGGTTCCCAGCATACCATATGGTCCCCTGAGCACCGCCAGGGATAATTCCTGAGTGCAGAGACAGGAGTGACCCCTGTGCATCGCCGGGTGTGACCCAAAAAGCAAAAAAATAAAAATTAAAAAAAGTCATTTTACCACAGAACTCTGATGATATTGTTCCACTTTTGTCTCACATCCAGTTTTGATATTTTGATGATAAATCTGATAATGGTCTGAATTTTGTTCCTCTATAGTGTCTCTTTTTCTTCTCTTTGTGTGACCTCAGTGACATGAATGTTAGATTTCTTGTTATGATCCTTAAGGCTCTATTTATGTTTTTCCCCATTTTATTTTTTGTCTTCCATATTGTATAATTTCTGTCTATTTTCAAGTTCACCAGTTCTTTCCTTTGTCCTCTCCATTTTGCAGTTACTGTCTTTTTTGGTTCTAAAATTTTCATTTAATTCTTTGTATCTTCTATTTCTTTGTTGATGGTTTCTATTTTTTTTCTTTTTGGGTCACACCCGGTGATGCTTAGGGGTTCTTCCTGGTTCTGCACTCAGGAATTACTCCTGGCAGTGCTCAGGGGACCATGTGGGATGCTGGGAATTGAACCCGGGTTGGCAAATGCCCTACCCACTGTGCTATTACTCCAGCCCCTGATTTCTATTTGTTTTAAGCATGTTCCTAATTGTTCAGTGAAACACATCTCTAACGGTTCCTTCAAAACCCTTGTCAAATAATTTTAAAATCCCTCTTATCTAGGTATTGGAGTTAAGGGTTTTTAATTTTTTAATTCAAGTTTTCTTGGTATGGTGAATGATTTTTTGTTGAAAAAGGTGTTTCACATATTGTGCTGTGAGACTCTAGATCTTTTGTGTGTGTGGTTTTTGTTCCACACCCAGTGATCTCTTGGCTCTGCACTTAGGAATCACCCCTGGCAGTGCTCAGGGGGACCATATGCTGTGGATCAAATCTGGCGTGGCTGCATACAACGCAAATGCCCTACCCACTGCACTAATCTCCCCAGCCCCAGAAAGATTCTAGATTTTATTTAAATATTCTGGCTTAGTTTACTTCCTCAGACATTGTGCTAGCATTGTAAGGATGGGCACTGCTTTGTTACTGCTAGCTGGTAATGGGAAGCCAGGAACTCCACTTAGTTTTCTCTTGACTCCTCAGGGAGGGTTTCCTCATTATTTCTGAGTGAGGGTACAGAGCTCCACATTCCAACCTTTAACGTAAGCCCAGTGAGAAAGATATGATACTTTACACCTAGTGAGGATAGAAGTTTAGGTCTCTTACTTTTACTTGTGGGGCCACTGTTTTTTCTGTAGTGTTTGGAGTAGAGTGGATATTATCTAATTGACATCTAAAGCATTAAGTTGACTAGGGGTGGGGTATGTGAGTACAAAAAGCAAACCCAGAGAACTCACCATATTGTTGCTCTACTGCTGCTGAGTTCCTCAGCAAGTTTGTATTCTACCATTCAAAGTCTTTATGCTATATACAAGTACATAATTTACATGTAGTTTATGATGTCCCAAGATTTTAGCTGTGAATGGAATTCACGGTCACGGTTCTCCCATTGTTCATCGATTTGCTCGAGCGGGCCCAGTAACCTCTCCATTGGAGACTTTGTTGTTACTGTGTTTGGCATATCGAATACATCACGGATAGCTTGCCAGGTTCTGCTGTGCGGGCAAGATACTCTTGGTGGCTTGCCAGGTGCTCCGAGAGGGGCAGAGGAATCGAACTCAGGTAGGAATAATAATT